CTTGTGTCTAGCAGTTGTACTACACATTTAACAGCTGGATTAGATCTTGTGTCTAGCAGCTGTACTACACCTTTAACAGCTGGATTAGATCTTGTGTCTAGCAGTTGTACTACACCTTTAACAGCTAGATTAGATCTTGTGTCTAGTAGTTGTACTACACCTTTAACAGCTGGATTAGATCTTATGTCTAGCAGTTGTACTACACCTTTAACAGCTAGATTAGATCTTGTGTCTAGCAGCTGTACTACACCTTTAACAGCTGGATTAGAGCTTGTGTTTTGTTCTGCCACTGCAACTTTAACAGCTGGAATACAACTTGTGTTTTGCGCTTGTACCGTACCTTTATCAGCTGGATTAGAGTTTGTGTTTTGTATTTATCCTGCATCTTTAAGTGCTGGATTAGAGATGGCGTTTTGTATTCGAACTGCAATTTTAACAGTTGAATTTAGAGTTTATATTTTGCTCTTGTACCGTAACTTTATTAGCTGGATTACAGTTTTTGTTTTGTACTGCAACTTTAACAGATGGACTAGAGTGTGTTTTGGATTTGTACTGCAAATTTAACTCGATGGATTGAACTTTATGTTTTGCTCTTGTACTGCACTTTTAACCACACAAGACCTTTTTGTGTTTACAGGTGTTGGAGATCAACTTTTGTAATAATATGAACAGTTTAACCTTTCGGTTTAGTTGTTCTTCAGAATCTTCCATGGGTGCGTGTGTGATGGTTGTGCTTTTGTAGCTTTTGTATGGTTGCTGTGTATATTTATCATTCCTGATCACTGACATCATCTCTGAAGACATTAATCACGTTGTTAACACCTCACTTGTGTTCATGACTGAAACCCGTGTAGTTTCATCTTCATGCTCTGTTGCAGTCTTTGCCAGTGTACCGTGTCGATTACTGCAAAACAACAACGTGTTGCAACATCATGAATCAATTATGACAGTTTAACTTGTCAGACAAAGAATCTTCTTTTTTTTCCTAATGTGAACAATGTTTACCGAAGTGTGAGATGTTCTTTTTATACATGATTTTTATTTATGTGGGAAAATAATCCATCTTTGCCTATTTTATGCCATTCACATACCAAATATTCCATTTGTATTTATTTATTTACCGGTTTATTAGGTACACCTAATGCAGTCTAATACAAAAGTGCAATAAATACTTCATGAAGGTTTTAATGTTTAGTTTTTTTTTAAACTGTTGGGTTTCTATTATTTACCTATCTTCACTGATAAAAGGGGGTGGACAAAATAATAGAACCACTTGTCGCTATAGTGCAAACAGTTCAACAGCAACACAAACTCCTCCTAAATGATCATTTAGCTAAAAGGGAGGATTTATTGCAGGACTGTTGTATTAAACTGGCCACTGTGCGAACTTCTAGTTAGAGTCAGCAAATATGTTTTTCTGTCTGGAGTGGAGGTTTTAACATTAGATATCATCTTAAAGATAATATTTGTTGTATTTCTGTTGTGGGACCATCCCCAGAGAACAGCCACAGAATTCAGGTAATGTCACAAAGTTTAAGCGCCCAAAAAAAGACGCGTGATGTTCATCTGTGACATATGTATTCTGCACATCAGAGACAATGAGCTTGCAAAAACACAAACAGAACTGACTCAGAGTCAGATTAGAGATGGTTCCCACAGATCTCACCTCGATGACCCTCCTGCTGTCTTTTGCCATCTGATAGCGTCTGTGAAAGACAGCTTGTACTGCAGAGTGATGACAGGCAGACTAACAAAGCTGTGAGGGAACAGGTTCATGTTGGACGGGCGCTGAAAAAAAAATGCCATCTTAACTATTTGGCTGCATTCCACATTGCCACACAACCTGCTGACGTGACGTCTTTATTCTCAGACGACACTTTTCCTCCTGTCAGCTCATCTTTGTTGTGAATGTTTCATGTCTCCACAATCCCCACCAAGATTGAGACCATAAAAAGGGAATAAATCCAGTGAAAAGTAGTCATTTTCTCATAGACTTCTATACAACCAGAGGAGTCGCCCCCTGGTGGACATTAGAGAGAATGCAGCTTTAACACATGAAGCTTTTCAGAACCTGGAGGTTGCCACCTGAAACGGATTAGATGATAATCTGAATAGACGCAATGAAATGGACACTTTGACCTCCCTTAAAAAACGGTGAATCTTAAATAATAA